TATAGTCAGTCACAGGGACATGTAGGTCTATAGTCAGTCACAGGGACATGTAGGTCTATAGTCAGTCACAGGGACATGTAGGTCTATAGTCAGTCACAGGGACATGTAGGTCTATAGTCAGTCACATGTAATTTCCAAAGATTGTTTAGTTTTTTCCCAACATTTTAATCACCTGCAGAAAACAGGAGCCGTGCATTTTCTGGTGTTGTGTCCTCGTTAATTCCCATCACTCAGTAAAACTGTCCCAGTTTGAAACCAGTTTTAATGGTTTGTTCTTTAATTGAAGCTGTTTTTCTGCAGGTTGTTTCTTCAAGCATTTGGTTTATTAGATGTTCTCCAATCATAATGATTAAATCAAATTTCAAACATAAAGAGCCTAGTATTTACTTATTATGCTTTATTTTTTCAAAGTGACATTTTTACATACTAAAGGTCTGTGTTTCATTTTTATTTTATTTGTTACATAGTTGCATATTTTATTTTATTTTTAATGAATTCAATAATTTAACAAATTATAGATAAATGTAAGATTTATTTCAAACTGAATATTGTCCTTATTTAAGGTTTAGTGAGAGATGTTTCTGACTCCTGATGTAAATAAAACAAGTCTCTGATCTATCTCTGTATTTATTCCGTTTTACATTTAAATTCACACATTCAGTGTGTATGACAGCCTAAAATATTACACAAATATAAATAATTCTGTTTCTACAAAGAAAGAAGCACATCCTAATTCTTCACACCACGAAGAATCCAACCCTGTCTGACAGACCACAAATAAAGAAAATGATTTTTTTTAAAGGATATTGTTCATTTTACACTTTACATTTGGGTGTTGTTGAATTTTAACTCAAAATCAATGTGTTTATTTCTTTTTAACTAACAAAATAAGCTAGTTTGTTTTTTCAAGCAAAAAAAAAAAACCAACTAAATATGATGAGATAAACTTTGTGAAATGTGTTATTGTCTGCATCTAAAAACAGAAAAGGAAAATATGCAATAAAATTATATGACTAAATTAATTATTGTAAAAATACTCTGGTTTGTGTTAAAATTCTTAATGTTTGCTCTTTTTGAGAGAAATGTGCAGAGAAATGAGTTATTTTATTTCAGGTCTGAGAGTTTAACAGGAGTTTTCACCTGATAATTACAAAAATACACAAATTGTTTCTTTTACCAAGTGAAGTCTCGGTGCACATCCATGGTCCGCTACCGTTTAACAAACCTCAGAGCTCTCACAACCAATCCTTCAGCTCAAGGTTTTAGTTTAACTCTCATTTGAATTTTAGATAAAACATAAAATTTGCCAAAACAGCACGATCATGTGAAATAAATGTGTGAGAGTTCAGCAGTTTGACTCGTCACCTGCAGGTCTGACCGGCTGCTTCACGTCTTCATGGAAAAAATACAACTCAGTAAAACAGAAAAATATAACTGACAAAGACAAAACAACTAATATAAACCTGAATACAGTAAAAAATAATAAATTAAAAAAACCCGAATAGAGAAGAGTATAACTTTAAATAGAGAAGTATAACTCTGAGTATTGATCTATACAAATCTGAGAGAAATACACAACTGTGTGTAGAAGAAAATAACTTCAGTGAATTTAAAAGATACAAAGTACAAATAAAATAAAAGAAATCAGAGTATAAAAGAGTAAAAACTAAGTGAAGCAGATGTTAAACCAGAGCTCACCTCAAGTTTAGATTATTTCAAGTTTCTTTTATTTATTTTTAAAGTTCAGT